CTATGTGACATGTGCCAAGGCCCCGCGCTTCCACCATAAGCCTCAGTTTCCTTATTTGTAAAATGGAAAGTCTCTCATGTCCAGAGAGACTTCTCAACAGCTAGCCTCCGGAGGCACAAGAGCTAGAGCCCCCTAGGGACCTGAGGCTGTGGGGATGAAGGCTCTTGGCAGCAGGAACCCCTTTTGGACACCAGGAGCCTATCACTGCTTCCAAAAGTGCCCTTAGTTAGGTCACAGCCAGAGTGCCTGCTCCATCAGAACCCAGCTCAAAGGTGGGAGCTGAGGCCAGGGACTCAGCAAATATGTGACCAATGAATAGGAAACTGGGCCAACAGGCAATGAGTTTTATACATTTTTAGATTTTTGCTTTTTTTCTCCCACCTCAGGTACTCGGCAAGCCTTTGCTGACAGTGAACTGAGTGGGTGAATAAATAACTAACATTTATAGTCTACTTAATCTGTAGTCTGCTATGTTTTATTTATAGTAAATCATTTAATTGTCTCAATTACACATGGACTTAGTTCCTATAATTATCTGTATATGTAGATGATGAGACTTAAATACAGAGCAGTTACACAACTTATGCAAGCTAATGAATGGCAGAGTTAGGATTCGAACCCAGGAAGTCTGACTTCCCCACCCACGCACCTAACCACTGCACTATGCTGAATGGATAGAGAGAGCAGATGGCTGGGTAGAGTGGCCAAGTAAGGAAGTGCATAGCATCGGAATTGAGGGGTGGCTTTTATGACACACTGGGGAGCCATGGGTGAAGCTGTGGGGGCTTATGGGTCTAGGGATGGGAGGTAGGGTTATCTCCTAGTGGCTTTAGGCTTAGAGTAGCATTCGAGCTATTCTGAGAATTCTGGGGGCTTGGGTGATGGTTAGGTTACAAGACGATGAATAAGTGGTTGCCTCTTCTCCTTTCCAGTTGACTGTGCAACAGAAGGTGTTCCACATTGCCAATGAGCTCCTGCAAACTGAAAAGGCCTACGTTTCCAGGCTTCATCTCCTGGATCAGGTGAATGGCCCTTCGGGGATCCCGGGACCCTAGGACCTGGTAGGTGGGTGCCAAGGAGGAAGTGATAGGGTCTGAGCCCAACCCTACTATTGGGGCCAGAACCTAGAAGTGGCAAGGCTCCTCTCTGACCTTAACCCCCATCATGTCCCTGAGGCCAACTCTGATTATGACCCTTAGCCTGATCTTTGTACCAATCATCATTGCTAACCCTGGGTGGGTACACAAGCCCTAACTGCAACTCCAACCCAGATCCTGAATTTACCCCTGGCTATAAAGCAGACCTTGAACCTCATTCTAACCCTGACCTCAAATCCACTAGAATCCCTAAGGATGAGGATTTTTTTCTGTTTTATTCACTGCCTGGCACACAGTGGCACTCAAAAAATTTGCTAAATGGATGGATCTAATTCCAACCTTCTCTCTGACCCTGAATCTAATTCTGACCTTGACCCTGATCCTGATTTCTCATTGTTCCAGTGCCTACCTTCAGATCCTAACTTTGACAACCTGAAATCCAAAACCGGATATAAGCCTAACCCCATTCCCTCTCTCCTCAATCTCAAGACCATGCTGATCCTAAATGTCCACAGAGCTGCCCACAAACACTGCCCTTACCTGCAAGCTGCCCCTTCCCCAGCCAAGTCCCAGGCTGAGCTGAGCTAAGCACTCCTGCCCTGCCCCACAGGTATTCTGTGCGCGGCTGCTGGAAGAAGCTCGGAACCGCAGTTCCTTCCCGGCTGATGTTGTCCATGGCATCTTCTCTAACATCTGTTCCATCTACTGCTTCCACCAGCAGTTCCTGCTGCCTGAGCTAGAGAAGCGCATGGAGGAATGGTGAGGGGCCCCAGAACTAGGCTGCCCACCCTCCTGTGCACTTGCCTGCTGAGCCCAGGCCAGATGGGTGCATGAGATTTCATTCCTGCCTGCTCTCTCCTCTTACCGCCTGTCACAAAAAGAATCAGGCCCAAGCTCTGCCTTCTAGGCCCTCCCAGTCTAATATGAAACATAGACCAGGACTCAGAAAATTCCATCAGAATAGCAAAGCTCTTAAGAGTATGAGGTTAAGAGCCAAATTGGCTGGGTTCAAATTCCAGCTCTGCCACTTGTAGCTTTGTGACGTTAAATAAATTTCATAAATTACTGTGCTTCAGTTTCCTCTCTATGAAATGAGGGTAATAATTATATACTGCTCTGTAGGGTTGTTTTAAGGATTAAATGAGTCAATACATGTAGAGGGCTTAGAACAGTAACCAGTACGTAAGTGTTCAATGAATGTGAGCTGTTGTTCTTTTTTATCAGTGCTATGACAGCTGTGAATGGGAGGTTGTGGGAATCCAAATAGACCAAAGCTAGCCTGGGGGTTAGAGAATGATTCAAGGGAGGAGGTAATGCCTGAGCTGAGGCCTGAGGTAGAAGGGCAGGGTTGATAGGCAATCTCCTGGCCTAGAGGCTCTTCTCTTCCAATCCGTCCTTTAGAGTCTACACTACCTGCCAAAATGGTCTTTCTGAACAACAATCAGACCATGTCATTTCCTGCTTAAAACATCTCCACATTCCTCACACCCACAGGATAAAGTATGTGTCGCCCTCACCAGACTGAGACCACATAGGGCTGGCATGAAGCCACTTCCTACACCTCCCCAACTGACTGTGACCCCTGAGGGCTGGATCAGGCCTGGTCCTGTGTGTCCCCCAGCCAATTGAGACTCCTGAGGAGTGCAACCGCCTGGTCAGTTAGCCTCCCCTACCAGAGACCCTATCAGAGCTCACTGAAGTGTGGCTCATTTGTGTCCCCAGAATCACCCAACATAAGACTGGGCACAGAATCAATAATCAGCATGTGAAGTGAGGTCAGGGCAGGTATTCCATGATTTGTCATTCCTGGTGCTCAAGCAGGGCAGAGTTGGGGTAGATGACAGCCCAGGCTGTGGTCTCAGGTCAAGCTAAGCCTCTTGACTTAATGGGCCTATAATATAAGAAGAATTTCCAAAGGAGCAGACTGGCTGAGAAGTAGATTTCCAGGTCTGAAGTGAAAGTGGCCTGCCTAGGGCTGCAGACCTATAGGGTGGGGGCATTGGGGGACAGGGATCAACAGGACCATGTCAGCCCTTGCTTCTACCTCAGGGACCGCTACCCACGCATTGGAGACATCCTGCAGAAGCTGGCACCCTTTCTTAAGATGTACGGCGAGTACGTGAAGAACTTTGACCGGGCAGTGGAGCTGGTCAACACCTGGACAGAGCGCTCCACCCAGTTTAAAGTGATCATCCATGAGGTGCAGGTAAGTGGCAAAGCTGGATGGGGCAGACTGGGGAGGAGAGGTCTGTGGGGACGTGGTAGGGGGTCTGTGGCCAGACCTAAGCTCTCTGCTTCTGCCTATCACAGAAGGAGGAAGCTTGTGGGAACCTGACATTGCAACACCACATGTTGGAGCCCGTGCAGCGCATCCCCCGCTATGAGCTACTTCTCAAGGACTATCTGTTAAAGCTGCCCCATGGCTCCCCGGACAGCAAGGATGCCCAAAGTGAGTGCACATACCCAGGCCCTGCCCTGTACCAAGACTTAACTAACAGGGTCAGCCTTCCACTGCCGCATAATTGAGATCACAGAATAGGATCTCCAAACTGAAAGGCCAACATTGAGGTTCTGGAGTGAAACCCCAGGATGAACCTCCAGATTGAGGTCTCTGCCTGAGGACCCAGACAGAACATTCAGGAGTCCCCCAGTCTGAAGTTCCCAACTGGGATGCCAGATTTTTGAGGGGCATGCCCAGAATTATCCCCTAAAGGGAGCTACTTGTTTCCTAGGCCAAGACCCCACGCTAACCCCTAGACTTGTTTGTAAATGAAATTGTCCCAAGTCTGAAGTGATACTGAGCCTGAACCCCCAGGGACTGAGCCACCAGACTGAGAGCCCAGACTGAGCCGATCCCTCTTTACTGAATTACACAGCTGAACTCCCCAGAAAGAGATTTGTCTCATCAAGCCCCCGATTTCCATCCTCCACACTTAGAGCCCACTCTGTGTCTGCCAGCCACTACCTAGAATGAACCTCTCAAAAGAACCTCCAGGTCTGATCAGAGCTCCACAGAATCACTTCTCCAGAACTGAACTTCCCAGAATGAACCCCATATTTTCTGCCTCCCAGATTAAGATCTCTACGCTGAGATACCATCTCTCCAGACTGAGTTCTCACACATTGAATCACTAGAAAAGTGTTTAATTCTGATTTCTCAAGTATGAGACCCAACCCCCCAGGGACACACCCCAAAAAGTACTTCCCAGAGTTTCTTCCACTTTCCCCCAGGCTGTCATTTTCATTCATTTCTTCATTAACGTAATATTTACTAAGCAGCTCGGTGTTCTTTGCATTGTCCTAGGCACAAGAGATATGGAGGTGAACAAGACAGACAAGGTCCTTGATCTCAGGGAGTGTATATTTTAGTCAGGGAGACAGACAAAAAACAAACATATAGCAAGTCCTTAAATAACACCATTTCCTTCAACATAGTTTCATTAGAACATTGATGAAGTGCTGTAGGAACTTAACTCATATCAATTAGCATTATGATTAAACTGGTTTCATTATACATTATTTCTCTGCAGTTCCACAAACCAATCGATGATGTTAAGTGAGGACTTACTGTAATAAATACACAGGAGAATATTAGATAGGTGCTACATGTAATTCAGAGAACAAGAGGGTAATTGGGTGGCCTTTTGAGAAGACATTTGAATATAACCTGAATAACGAAAAGAAGGGAGCCACATGCAGGTTAGGGAAGAGTACTGATAGGGGAGGTGTACATTCCAGGCAGAGGCAACAGCAAGTGCAGAGTTCCTAAGGGGGAGGTTAGGGTAGGGGGTGGCAGCTTGCTTATCTCTGGACCCACAAGAGGGCCAGTGTGACCTGAGCATGACAAGTGAGGGCAGAATAGTAGAAGTAGTGTTGGAGAAAGGAATAAGACTTTGAAGGCCAAGATAAGTGGATGGATTTTATTCTGAATATAGTGGGTAGCCACGGGAAAGTTTTGATTGGGATTACTTGGGGAGCAGGAGAGATACCAGTTAGAAAAGACTTTTGTAATAAATTAAGTGAGAAAAGTTGGTTTAGATGAGGATGATAGTAGTGAAAGTAATGAGAAATGGCTGGATTCAGGATGTATTATACAATTGATCCTTGAACAATGCAGGGGTTTGAGGCGCCCCCCGCCCCCAAATGAAAGTCTGTTTACAACTTCACTTCCTCAAAACTTAACTACTAATAGCCTACTGTTGATAGAAACATTCAAGAATGACTTGCAGATTTTTGGCTGGTGGTGATTGTTTCTGAGATGACCTTAGAAGTTTAATTTTGGACTTGTTCAAAGTGACTGCCAGTGAGGCAATTAGATGAGTCTAGAATCCTAGGGAGAGATCTAGATGTCACTGGCACATAGACAGTATACAAAGCCATGAGGCTGGACATGATCACCAAGGGAGTAAGTGTAAATAGAGAAGAAAAGGAGGTCAAGGACAAAGGTGAGGGAGGTGGAATCAGCAAAGAAGACTTAGAAGGAGCAGTCCTAAAGGTAAGAGGAAAATCAGGAAACTGGTGTCCTAGAAGCCACAAGAGTCAGGGACAAACAGCTGTGTATACTTCCCAAACTGAGTCCCGCCTTCCCTACTAGATGGGATACTTTGCTACCAAGGCTAGACCTCTAGAAAGAGCTAGAACCTTAGAAAGTTTGATAGTTGAGCTCTACAGACAGACATTTGCAAACTAAGTACCATATTCTCCTTAAATGAAGCCCCCACAAGGTGGCAGAATGAGCTACATAACCTAAGGATCTAGAAAAAGCCTTCCACACTGATTCCCATGGACTGACATCTCTAACCTGAGCCCTCAGGCTGAACCCAGTCCAAGGTCCCAGTTATAGATCTACTACACTGGTTTCCCCAAACTAAGACCCCCAGACTGGGCCTCCAGAATGGTCTCCCCACCCTGAACTATGAACATGGGTTTGCAGTCAGAGCTTTCAGCCTGAGGTCCCAGAGTGAGATTTCACCAAAAAAGCCATGCAGTCTGATCTCCTTGGCCACAATTCTATAGACAGGTATTGCCAAACTGAGCACCCTAGATTAATCTCTCTACTTATTGTCCTTCAGACTGAGACTTCTAGCCTGAGCCCAAAAGACTGACACTCCAGATCCATCCCACAGACTGAGAACACTGAGCCCTCAGACTGAATTCCCAGAGTTTCCCAGGGTAAACCCCAGAAGGAACCCTGAGATTGAGCTGCCCAGACTGAGCTTCAAACAGAGATTACAGACTGCATTCTCCCTAGTCCAAGTCCCACTAATTAGGCAACCCACACCAAGCTCTGAGTCTGATCTTCCCAGTCTCAACTACCAGACTGACTTCCCTCAGACTGTGCTCTCCATTTTTTACCTCCCAGACTTAGATTTATGGATTGAGATTCCCAGGCTGAGTCCAACAGATTGAGGTATCCTGACTGGGCCCCATACTGAGACTCAAGAAAGATACCTCACTGTCACTGGGGTCCCCAGAAGAAGCTTCCCATCTCATTTTTCTACTTAGAGCCCATGAGTTCTACAGAATCACATGTCCATATTGAGCTTCCAGGACTGAATTCTGCAACTTTATCTCCAAAGTGGACCCCTAGCATGATATTCTCAAACTGAAAATCTCCAAATGAGTTCCCTGGACTGGACCCCCAAAGTAAGCTGCCAGTATAAGCTCTCTAGACTAGGCCTCAGATTGAGTTTTTTAAATTTTTATATTTTTCAATTATAGTCGACATATTAATTTTAGGTGTACAGCAGTGATTCAACATTTATATAACTTATGAAGTGATCGCCCCAATAAATCAGTACCCATCTGACACCATACATAGTTATTACAATACTACTGACTATATTCCCCATGCTATACTCTATATCCCCATGACTATTTTGTAACTACCAATTTGTACCTCTTAATCCTCTCCCCCTTCACCCATCCCCCCACTCCCCAATCTGACAACCATCAAAATGCTTTCTGTGTCTATGAACTTGTTTCTGTTGTTTGTTTGTTTATCCTGTTCTCTAGATTCCACATATAACATTTGTCTTTCTCTGTCTGACTTACTCCACTCAGCACAATACCTTCTAGATTCATCCATGTTGTTGCAGATGGCAAGATTTCATTCTTTCTATGGCTGAGTAATATTCCATTGTATATACATACCACTTCTCCTTATCCATTTATCTACTGATGGACATCCAGGCGGTCTCCATATCTTGGCTATAGTAAATACTGCCGCAATGAACATATAGATTCACATGTCCCTTCAAAGTAGTGGTTTGCGTTTCTTCAAATAAATACCCAGAAGTGGGATTATAGGGTCCTTCTTTGTCTCTTATTATAGCCTTTGTTTTAAAGTCTATTATGTCTGGTATAAGTATTGCTACCCCAGCTTTTGTTTCCCTTTTCATGAAACATCTTTTTTCATCCCTTTACTTTCAGTCTGTGTGTGTCTTTCAATCTGAAGTGAGTCTCTTGCAGGCAGCATATGTAAGGGTCTTGTTTTCTTATCCATTCAGCCACATTTTCTTTTAACTGGAGCATTTAATGCATTTACATTTAAAGTAACTGTTGCTAGATATGTAGTTACTGCCATTTTATTATTCTTTTTTTATCTTTTTGTTCTTTTTCCTTCTTAAAGAAGTCCCTCCAATGTTTCCTGTAATACTGGCTTCGTAGTGATGAACTCTAGCTTTTTTTTTTTTTTCTAAGAAGCTCTTTATCTGTCCTTCAATTCAATTCTAAATGATAGCTTTGCTGAGTAGAGTAACCTTGGTTGTGTAGGTCCTTTCTTTTCATTACTTTGGATATATTGTGCCAATCCCTTCTGGCCTACAAAGTTTCTGTTGAGAAATCAGCTGATAGTCTTATGGGAGCTCCCTTGTAGGTAACGAACTGCTTTTATCTTGCTGCTTTTAAGATGGTCTCGTTGTCTTTAACTTTTGCCATTTTAATTATGAAGTGTCTTAGTGTGGGCCTGTTTGGGTTCATCTTATTCAGGACTCTCTGTGCTTCCTGGGCTTGTATGTCTATTTCCTTTGCCAGGTTAAGGAACTTTTCAGTCATTATTTATTGAAATAGGTTTTCAATTCCTTGTTCTCTTTTCTCCTTCTGGTATCCTTATGATGCGAATATTGCTATGCTTGATGCTGTCCCAGAGGTTCCTTTTTTTGGATTTCTTTTTCTTTTTGCTATTCTGATTGGGTGTTTTCTGATACTTTATCTTCTGAATCGCTGATTTGATCCTCCACTTCATCTAATTTACTGTTAATTTCTAAGGTATTCTTCATTAATGTTATTGTAGTCTTCATTTCTGACTGGTTCTTTTTATGTTTTCTATCTCTTTGTTAAAGTTCTGAGTTCCTCTACTCTTCCTATAAATTCATTGAGCATCCTTATCACAAGTTTTTGACCTCTGCATCTGGTAGATTCCTTGTCTCCATTTTGTTTAGTTCTTTTTCTGGAGCTTTGTTTTGTACTTTCATTTGGAACATGTTTCTTTGTCTTCCCATTTTGGCTGCCTACTTGTGTTTATTTCTATGTATTAGGTAGAACATGTCTCCTGGTCTTAGTAGAAGTATGTAGTAGGTATGCTACATAAGTGGGCCCAGTGGCACAGTCTTCCCTGGTCATCTGAGCTGGGTGCTCCAGGTATGTCCCTTGTATAGGTTATGTGTGCCCTCCTGTTGTAGTTGAGCCTTGGTTGCTATTTGCTTCTCAGTGGAAGGGATTGACCCTTGAGCTGATTGGTTGTGAGGGCTGGGCATGATCAGTGGAGGAGCTGTTGTGCAGGGGCTGACCCTACAGAGCAAGTATTACTTTAGCAGGGCTCTAGTGCCTGCCCTATCTGCTCTTTGGGTAGAGCAGATATAACCCCAGATATAACCCCAGGTGGTGCTCCAGCGTAGACTGAAGATATAAGCCTCAGATATAACCCCAGATGGTGCTCCAGCTTAGACTGAAGCCCCCCACTGTATGAGAAGTGTAGGCAGGGGCTTCCTGGGAGGGATCCTGCTGCAGGCCAAGTTTAGCTGCAGCCTGTGCCCTGCCCAGGGCCACCTGGCATGAGCCACCAAGCAATCCACAGATGCCACCACCCACACTGGGCTCGGAAGTACCTCGAGAGGCCAAGCCACAAACCAAGGCCGGCTGCTGCTAGCAACAGGCTTGAGGCTGCTCAGCACGAAGTATGGGGCATGCTGAGGCCAGATGATGCTTGTTTAGGTTTTGTGAACCTTTGAGAGATTTTAGGAAAGTCCACACTATGACCCAAGACAGGCGTTTTGTATGGAAAATCCATTGGAAATGGCTTGGGTGGGCCCACATGTTGGGAGGGGTGGGGTGTCAGGGAATCACCAAGGTGAGGCAACCAGTGTTAATTACATTGATGGAGTCTCAGATATTGTGGCCTTCTGGGTCTGCGAGCCAGGCAGGGCAGGGCTCAACAAAGGAACGATGCCCTCTGGGACCAGCTTGTTTCATGTCTCCATCCCTCTGGTCACTCTTGAGGTAGCCTCTTCTATGTGTTCCTACTTGTAGAACTTCTGTTCAGCTAGACTTCAGATGACTCTCAATAATGGTTGTTTTGTAGTATAGTTGTAATTTTGATGTGGTTGTGGGAGGAGGCAAGTACCGCATTTACCTACTCCGCCATCTTGACCGGAACTCAGATTGAGTCATTTTACTATCTGTGTGTCCCTGGGCAAACTACTCAGTCTCTCAGTCTTAGTTTTCTGGTGTGTAGAACAGGCATGATAATACCTACCTCATAGTTATCTGGAGGATAAAGGAGATAATGAAGGTAAAGCGTTTAGCACAGTACCTAGCACATGCTACAGGCTCAATAAATGTTAGTTGTTTCTATTACTGAATACCCTGGCTGATGCCTTCCATACTTAGTGCCTCTAAAAATCAGCCCCCAGATTAAGTTCACCAAATTTAGTTTCCTGTTTTGTACCAATCTCAGCCCTATCTGTATGTGTCCCTGGAAAGAACCTCAGAACTTGAGCTTGGCTGTCTGAGCTTCCCACACTGAGCCTAAAGATGAACCCCTCCTCGCCCCCCCCCCAAAAAAAAAACTTCCCAGTCTGGTTTTTTGAGCTGCTCAGAATGAGACTCTGAATGAAAACCAGCCCGAGAGATGCTCACTAAGTCCCCCAGCCCAAGATCTTAAGCTGACCTCCCTATTTTTTCCCTCAGACTAAAATCCCCAGGCAGAGCATGAGAAAGTGCCTCCAGCTCTGAACTCCACTGAATCATACCTCTGGTTCCCCAGACTTGACTCTCCTACTTTCTACTTCCCAGTCTAAATTCTAGAGCCCGGACCCCATGCTGGGCTTCCCAAACCAAGTCAGCTGGAACTCCTGACCTGAGCTGCCTACCCTGAGCCCAAGACTGGACTCTGAACCAACATTCCAGACTGCCAAACTCAGACCAGACCCCACCAAAGCCTCCATACCAAGCTCCTACACCAGGCTCTCCAAACTGCACTCCCTAGCCTGAACTCCAAATGAATTCCTAGACTGGCATCCCCACACTGAATCCCCAGACAGCTTGGACACACTGAACTCCTGGAAATGCCAGTCCATTCCCCACATAAGACATCTCCAGACGGAGTGCCTGATAGCAAAGCCTCTAGTCTGAGTCCAGCAGCCTACACAAGCTTGACTTATAGGCCCACAACTTGCCAGAGTCTTCTTCCTGTCCCTTCCCTGGGCACCTTCTGCCTCTGCCACCCAACATGGGGGTGCCACCTCTTCTCTGAGTCTCAGTTTTCCCATAGGTCAAATGGCACAATCACACCTATCTTACAGGGTTGTTATGAAGATTGAAGGAGTTAATTTATTCAAAGCATCTGTTGGGGAGCCCTGGAGATAGTGGTGGGACCTTGGCCCCATCCTAGGGAGCTCCTAGTCTACTCCAGGATACAGATGTGGATATATAAACATACAATGAACACACAGTGTGAACAGTGGGACACAGGGGAGCTAAGAGGAATGTGGAACCCAGCCTGGGAACTCAGGGCAGGCTTTCTGGAGGAGATGAGCTGAATCTAGAAGATTAAGTGGCAGTTGGCCAGGTGAAGCAAGACAGGACATGTTGAGAGAGGTGCAAATGAAGAAAGCTGGAGAGGTCAGCAGAAGCCAGATCACTAAGGGCTTTGAATGCCAGGGTAAAGGGCTGAGTCTTTACCCTGCAGGCATAGGGGAGCCATTGACAGATTTGAGCAGAGGAATGATAGCCAGCCATGTGTGAGAAAGCTCCCTCTGACAGCTAGGACAGAAGAAGAGTTGGAGATTGAAGACTGACACCTGAAAGGCCTGAGCTGGGACAGGGGCCACAGATCTTGAGCACCAAGACTTGGTTATGGAGAATAGGGCCTCCTAGGAAAACAAGACTTAGCTTGCCAACCATATGCACTTTCTCCAGAAGCACATGTGCTCCTTCCATTACAGGCATATTTTCTGAGTGGGAAAATCCAGCACTGTATAATAGACAAAAGTGGGGTGCATCAGCAGGATTTGTTGGTGTATGGAGATGTATAGGGACTTATTTCAATTTTTTTTTTCCTGATGATACCTGGCCACTATAGGAAATATGGACATTGTGGGAAAGATAAAAAAGGGAGAGAGGAAAAAATCACCTGTGATACAAGCCCCCAGAGTATAAGCAAGAGAAACATTTTGACATGTATTCTTCCTGGTGTTTTTTTATTCACATATATTTGTGAAATCAAGATCTTTCAGTATATACAAGTTTGTATCCTTTTCTTAAAATGTCCTGAGCATTTCCAAGATTATGAAAAACCCTACATAAGTATCATTTGTAAAGGTTGTTTAGTAGACCATTATATGAATGCACATTAATTTATTTAACTGAACCTCTACAGTTGGACATTTTTGTTTCCAGTTTGACACTGTTTTAAATACCATTGCAATCAAAGTGTATTTGTATATAGAACATGTATTTTCTTAGTTCCTATAATCAGAATTATTGAGACAAAGAATAGGATCATCTCTTTGTTTCTTTATATGACTTTTTTTTCTGATTATAAAAGTAATACATGTTCTTTGTCAAAAACATGAAAAATACAGAAAAATCTAAAGAAGATAATAAAAACCACCCGTAGTTCCACCATCCAGAGACAACTTGTTAAACATGGGTATGTTTCCTTCTAGTTACATATGTAATTATTATCGATATTTTTAATGGTAATAATAATTTTTTAATTTTGTATTAGTGGCTGCCAGCTATTCCATGTATTACGATTGTGGCATTGAGACAGTTTCTGATTTTTAAAGTGATGTTGCTATCGACATCTTTGAGGCTGGTGCTTTCTGGGATGGGGAGGGTATGGTCAGGCCATGAGGAGGTATTCGAGGAGCAAAGCAGCCTTGAAGAGCTTCTTCTCTGCTAGTCCCCCATCTGACATCCTACTCTGCCTGCAGAGTCTCTGGAGCTGATAGCCACAGCAGCAGAGCACTCTAATGCTGCCATCCGCAAAATGGTGAGTGGCCCTTCTATCCCTGCCCTTCCTTGGCCACCCACCCATGGTGTCTCTGTCCTGGGCTTGTGACTTGTGGATATCTAAGGGGAGGCTGGCGCTCCAACCCTGCCTTTTGCTCACTGTCTCTTGCCAGGAGCGAATGCATAAGCTGCTGAAAGTCTATGAGCTGTTAGGGGGTGAGGAAGACATTGTCAGCCCCACCAAAGAGCTCATAAAAGAAGGCCACATCCTTAAGCTGTCAGCAAAGAATGGGACCACTCAAGACCGTTACCTCATATTAGTAAGTGCCAGGTGTGGGGTTGTGGGTGGGCCATGCCCCCATACATGTTGACTTGGTAATCACTCAAGACTGTAACTCCCGCTAGCCATTCTTTCCTCCATTAACTCATTGTACTTTTACTACCTATACTAGATGATGTAACTAAGACAGAGAGAAGCAACTTGCCCAAGGTCACCCAACTAGGAAGTAACTCCCATGCCTAGGCTCTTTCCTTGCAACTTTTGTGCCCAATCTGGGCTGTCTTCTCCATCTATTGTTTCGAGTCCCCAGTAATAAAGCTTGAGGAGTACTATAAGGGAGCTGGACCACACCCCTCCTGGTCCTCCACACATACATCCCAAACCTTTTCCTTCCTAGTTCAATGACCGCCTTCTTTACTGCGTGCCCAGGCTGCGGCTCCTTGGCCAGAAGTTTAGCGTGCGGGCACGCATTGATGTAGATGGCATGGAGGTAAGCACAAGGAGGTGGGAAATGGGACCTGGAGTGGGGCCTTGGTGCTAGGAGATTGTAACAAAGACATTCTGATTTTGAACCCAAGTCTATGCATGCATCTGTGCAGAGGATGAAGGCCCTGGGGAGCTCAATAGGCCTCACAAAGCTCTTTCTCCCTCCATTCAGCTAAAGGAAAGTTCCAACCTCAATCTGCCTCGGACCTTCCTGGTGTCAGGAAAGCAGCGCTCCCTGGAGCTTCAGGCCAGGTACTTGCCCTTCCCTATACCTTCCCTTCAAATATGCTGAGGCATTCTAGGCCTAACACCAGGCAGACAGGCTACCTCCCTAGGGGAGAGATTGTTCCAGAGAAAGATGCAGTCTTGCTCTTTTGGTGGGTTTTGTTAGAGGAGAGGGAAGAATGAGATGAATAACAACAACACAAATAGTTCATTATAGATTCAGAGATTTAAGAGAAATACCAAATGCAGTGCTTGGTCCTTGATGACAGGCTGATTTGAGAAAAAAAGCCTTAAAAGATATTTGCAAGACAACTGGGAAAATCTAAATGTGAACTGAGCATTACATAATGGGGAATTACTGCTAACTTCTTCAGCTATGATCATGGTATAGAGGTTATATAAGAGAATGACGCTGTTTTCTGATGCATGCATAAGATTTAGTATCATGATATTCATAATTTATTTTTAAGTGGTTTATCAACCAAAAATACATATATGTATACATATATGCATACACATATACATACATATAAAATACATATTAATAATATATACATGTATGAAGTAAATATGGTAAAATATTTTAAAATTTTGTATCTATATAGAGGGTATATATTTAATGCCCTTGTGTTACACTGTCTACTTTTCTGTATGCTTGAAATTTTTCATAAAAAATTTTAAATAACAAATTTAAAAATAATACCCAGTCATTTAACAAAGGGGCTTCTTTCATATCCATCTTCTACTGGATGATTATAACAATAGCTCACGTTTAACGAAGACTTGCTCTTAATGCTAGGCATTGATTTAAGTTTAACTTAAACAATTTAAGTGTAAATTGATGAGTTCAATCCTTAAAACCACCCTTGAAGTACTGTTAGCATCAGCCCCATTTTACAGTTGAGGAAACTGAGGCACAGAAGAGTTGTGTACCTTGCCCAAGAGCCCGCAGCTAGAAAGGAACAAAGCTGGAATTGGCGCTCACTGCCTTCTGAGGGCCCAGGTGATAGGGTATCAAGGTCATGGTCAGGACTAGAGAGTGGATGCACATGGCTAGATGATCTGCTTCTGACAGGCTACAAGGAAATGAGAAACGAGAGTCAGAACTTTCATTGTTGAGACTGCATGGAGGCTGGAGAGGTGGATGTGGGCTGGGGGTGTTGGAAGTTCCAGAAAACAGAGCATCCTGGAGATCTGCAGCCAGGAAAGTGAGAACAAAGCTGACAGGCATATCAGGAAGGTGGCGGGAGAGGTGTGGGACCCAGTCGTGCCTCAGAAGAGCCTGAGTGACAAGCTTCAATACTGGGACACCTAGTATGCTAGGAGGGTGGAGGGAGGGGGCTGCAGAGGGATGCTGGGCCCAGAAGGGTGCGCTTAGCAGTGTAGGGTTTCCTCCTAGTGGCAGAAGGAAGGCATGGAGGGTTTGCTTTGCAATTGCTTTTACTGTCCTTTAAAAAGTTATTTTAATGAAAAATTTCAATTTTTTTTTTTTTTGTAGAAATACAACCACCACCCATATGCCCACCACTTAGATAACTGGTTCTCAACCTTGATGACATGTAGGAATCAGCTGGGGAACTTTCAAAAAAAACTGATGTCTGGGACCCACCCCCAGAGGCTCTGATTTAATTTGTGTGGGGTGTAGTTTGAACATGGGGAGTTTTAAAAGCTCCCCAGGTGAATTTAATGTGTGTAACAGGGTTTAGAACCACTGCCTTAGAAAAATGGCTATTGACATTTTGCCATGTATATCTTTTGCTGAATCATTTTAAAGTAAATTATAGACATGACTCTTTACCCCTATATACTTTATCATGCATTGCCAAAAACACTATTGTGGCTCTTAAAAATCAAAAGCAATATTTTTACTGCAAAAAAATTAGAAGATATAAATTAAAAAGATTTTTTTTAAAAAAAAGAATGCAATCAGAATAAAGTAAAATTCACTAGAACTGTACCACCTAGAGAGAGAGCCAGTGCTAATATGTTGGCAGATCCCCTTTAAGGGCTTTCCTCTATCCACCTGTGTGTGTGTACACATAACACACAATGTTTTCTTTCTGTATTTTATTATGAAAAATTTCAAAATACAGAAGAGTTTAAAGAATTGTACAGTGAATACCCATAAACCTATCATATAGATTCTACAAATGTTAACATTGTGCTATATTTATTTTATCACAAATCTATCCTTTCATCCATCCACCAATCCATCTGATTTTTTTTTTACTGCATTTCAAAGTTAGTTATAGACATCGCTATACCTTATCCTTAAAGAGTTTGGCGTGTATATCATTACCTAAAGTTCAATGTTTGTTTAAGGTCCCTCCCCCCTACCCACCCCCCCACCTTTTCTTGAGGCAAAATTTTCAGACAGTGAAAAGCACAGGTCTTAAATATACCATGGATGAGTTTTGACAAATGTAAACACTCGTGTCACGTATATTTTTAAACAAAAATGAAATGCTATATGTGTATTTTATATATGTTGTTTCACTTAACATATTATAAACAGCTTTGTAGCTCATTCAAGTTGTCTTTTTTTTTTGTACCTGATTCCCCATTGTTGGACACTTAGGTTTCTTCCAATTTTTCACTATAATAAATAGCATTGCAAATGGACATTCTTGTAGCTACATATTGACTCACATCCTTAATTTTTCATAAAGTAGTTCTAAGGATACAGTCAGACTTTCATCCTAGGAAAACACTTTTGATGTCTGGAGTGTGGATGTGGAAGGGGATTAGAAGAGAGAGGTCAGGAGGCAATCAGCCAAAAGGCTGGGTTCTATCCCTAGTTAGCACTTGATAGGACTGCAACTGAGCAGAAGCCTTGGAAACTGCAGGGCAGACAGTAGAGTTGGGGACAGAATGGAAAGGGAAGGGGAAATTCACATTAATTGAGCATCTAGTGTACCAGGGATTGTGCCAAGCATTTTACACGTCACCTCGGTTACTGCTCGGAACAACCCAGACTGATAATTATCATCTCCATTTTACAAGTGAAGAAAAATAAACTGCCCTCCTTTATCAAACTTGACATTCCAGCAACAGGGAACTATTTGTGGTTTCTTGTATGTTCCATACTCTTCCACATAATCCTTCTTTAGCAGCCCCCACCAAAACTCCAGGCTGGGGCAGGTTTCCGCTTCTGGGCTCCTCAGCCCTATTTTCACTCTGTCACAGCACTAATCCCCTATATTGTCCCTATCTCTCCTCTCTAGACCATGTGCTCCTTGAGGGTAGGGTCCTCTCTCAGGCTCAAGTTCCTAGCACAGGATCTGGAAGGTATTAGTAACTATGAATAAACACAGACAGGTAATAATTGAAGGAGCAGAGGGTCAAATCCCAGGTCTGTCTTGATTCCAAAACACCTGCTCTTTACCATTCCAATTGCTTTTGGTTGGCCTGCCTAACCCAACATCTTTCTTTTTTGCCCCCAAGGACTGAGGAGGAGAAGAAAGACTGGGTCCAGGTAACATCCAAGAAGCTTTGTGGTAGGGGGCTGGAGGAGTATTAACAGGTCTCCTAGGGGTTGGTGGACTCTCCCCTAAAACTCACATCTGACCAGAATGGTCCTGGACAACAAACTTTACCATCCCCATTTTACAGATAAGCCAACTGAGGTCCAGAGGTTAAGCAGAAACTAACAAATTCTTCCTTTAGAGAGCTGGCTCCTCTGAGAGTGTAACCCCAGTGAGTTAAGCCCTGTTAAACCTTAAGCCCAGACAGTGGCTAGGAAGGCCTTCTGAGGTTTTGTAGCCACTGATCTCCCCTCCCTCTTTCCACAAATATAAGAACTGAAACCTGACTTTGGAAAGGGACTTGCTCAAGGGGCAGAGCAGTGCCTAGGACTCACTTTTCTGACTCCAAGCTAGGTCACGGGAATGTTGAGGTGAGAGTGGAAATGGGTGGGTTGTGAAGCGATCTGACCTCTCATTTCTTAACACCGCCTCCCCAGGCCATCAACTCCACCCTCCTGAAGCATGAACAAACGCTGGAGACCTTCAAACTGTTAAACTCAGCAAACAGGGAAGATGAAGACACACCCCCTAACTCTCCAGTAAGAGTCTACACCCCCTCCCTCTGCACTGGGACCCCTTCCAGGCCTCCAAGTCCCCACCTTTACCTTGAGATGTTCTTCTCTTCCCAGAGAATAAAGACCAGAGAGGCAGTGCATGACTTCAGAAGCAGTCTTCTGTTGGTAGGGCCTCAGAGGAATCACTAGGGAAATGGAGGCCCAGAAAGTAGAAGTGATTTACCTTCAGTAGCACAGTGAGGTAGGGACAGAGCCAGGAATCAAAGGCAGGTCTTCTGAACATGTCTGCTGCCTCCCAGTGATGATCCAAGCCTTGGAGCAGGGGCAAGGGCTGGCTGGACTGGGCTAGGGAGTAGCTGTCTCTGACCTGGGACCTGGCCCTCTCTCCAGAACGTGGATCTTGGGAAGCGGGCACCTACACCCATCCGAGAAAAGGAAGTCACCATGTGCATGCGCTGCCAGGAGCCCTTCAATTCCATCACCAAGCGCAGGCACCACTGCAAGGCCTGCGGGCATGTGAGTGTTGGGTGGCAGGGGCAGAGCTAGGGAGGGGACAGGCTGGCAGCCTGAAGGCTCACTTCTGAGAGGGCTCCCACCAAGCGGGGAGAGGCCGTGAGTCTGCTGTGGGAGTTAGTACACTGAAGGGGAAGGCCTGCTGGAATCAAGCTTCTCTTGCCCACCTGCCACTCCAGGTGGTTTGTGGGAAGTGCTCCGAGTTCCGGGCCCGCCTCATCTATGATAACAACCGCTCCAACCGCGTGTGTACTGACTGCTACGTGGCCTTGCATGGGGTACCTGGGAGCAGCCCAGCCTGCAGCCAGCATACACCCCAGCGCCGGAGGTCCATCCTGGAGGTAAGAGCCAGACCCACAACCACTAACCGTCCCACACTGAAGCCTGGGCATCTGAAACCATAGGGTGGCATGTGCATCCATTGAACAAGTGATCCAGGCTTGGAGTGAATACAATGAATGCAAGAGTGAATGAAAGCCAGTAATTTTTATTTAAGTGCTTTAGACATTTAATCCTAACAGTAACTATCTATCCATGCTATTACTATCCCTATTTTACAAATGAGGAAACTGAGGCCCAAGGAGGTTGTTTGCCCAAATCAGACAGCCATTGAGTGGCAAGCCTTGGATGTATTTTTTTTAAACAAATTTGTTTCTTATTACAAAGCAGGATATGTGCACTGAAGAAAATTAGACAATATTAAACAAAAATAATAAAAACACCCTATACTACCCACTAGATTACCACTAATGCTTTTGTTTCTTATCTTTCTAAGCACGTGCACATTTTGTGTTTAAATAGAGTTATTTTACTTAACACTTAAAGAATGCTTACTCTGTGCCAGGCACACTGTTTTAAGCACTCTGCCTCTATTCATTTAACTCTTACAACAGCTCTATAGGCTCTCCTTCCAAGTGAACACATTTTCATTTAGAGCTAAGATTCTGAGCCAGGCTGCCTTACCCCCACCCATCCCCTTAACCACAATGCTAGGTTGCTTCTCACCGAGTGCAGGGAATGAATATGTGAAAGGTGAATAAAGATGGGAAAAAAAGAAGTTGAGGTATAAATGCATAAATGGCTTGAGGAATAAATGGACTGATAGAAGAATGCCTGGCATTTAGGTGCCCCTGCTGAGAGCTGTATATCCTTCCCACCAACTCTTAAAGGTGGAAACCATGGCCTGACTGACTCACCTGAGGACATTGGGCAAATCACTCCTGGCATCTGAGCTTCAGTGTCCTCATCTGCAGTATGGGCATAGCAATCCCTACACTGTGGGGGTATTGAAGCCCAGAGGAGCCAGCCTAGGCCTTCGATCAATACTGATGCTCCCCATATCTCTGGCCACAGAAACAGGCCTCAGTGGCTGCGGAGAACAGCGTGATCTGCAGCTTCCTACACTACATGGAGAAGGGTGGGAAAGGCTGGCACAAGGCATGGTTTGTGGTCCCTGAGAATGAACCCTTGGTGCTGTACATCTATGGAGCCCCTCAGGTGTGTACCCTGCTCCTTTGGGTCTCTTCAGCCACCTGGCAAAACCTGGCTTCCCCCTTCCACTTCTGTCCTTGTCCTCTCCTTGTCCTTGGGGGATAGGGTAAGCCTCAGTGGAAGTCAGAACCCCCACTATTGTGAGACAGTCTAGCTTGATGCAAAGACTGATTGTGGGCCAACATATGTAGGGGGAAATGGGGTGAGTTGGGAGAGGAAGCTGGCTTCCTGAAAGAAGCCAGAGTGGAGAATGGGGCACTGCTAGGTCCAATTTGAGGGAGGGGAGGACATGCAGATGGGCCAACAACCTAGACAAAGACCTGAAAATGTTATTTGATGTATATATATGCTAAAGAGACTAGCCCAGCTGTTTTTGGGTATGAGGAAAAAGGCATTTGAACCCAGCCTGTGTCCTAGCCCCAGTTCAGATTTTTTCCTGTTGCTCTCAGTGGAGCCATGGAAGGTTCTCGAGCAGGGGAAGAGGGGTTTAGCAGGTGCAAAACCAGTGAGAAGCCCAACCCCAAAATGACTCGAGCTCTGTCCCTTTCTCTAGGATGTGAAAGCCCAGCGTAGCCTACCCCTCATTGGGTTTGAGGTGGGGCCTCCTGAGGCGGGGGAGCGGCCTGACAGAAGGCATGTCTTCAAGATCACCCAGAGCCACCTGAGCTGGTACTTCAGCCCTGAGACAGAGGAGCTACAGCAGCGCTGGATGGCTGTGCTTGGCCGGGCAGGCCGTGGGGACACGTTCTGCCCAGGGCCCACACTGTCTGAGGAC